GGAAGTAGCGAGGCAACCCCTCTTCGGAAACCAATGGATTACTAATGAACGAAGTCAGATTTTTAGCAGCACGGACGCCCCGTGGAAAGGTTGGGTGAACAATGGGGTGACTCGAGTGGGTGACCTTTGGGATGGGGAGAGGAAGGACTGGAAGTCCCCGGAAAAGATGAGGGAAAATTTGAGATATTGTCACAATATTTAATCAGCTCTGGAGGCCATAACAGAGGCCCTCCCGATAGGATGGTGACTCATTCTTCGCAGGGGTCCGGTGGTGAAGGAGGGCGATTGGATGGCCATGAAAGGGAGGGACGATAAGGTGGGGTTGGTTCATCTAGTCCGCCTAGATGATGGGCTGATCGAGTGGTACAACATAAAAAGAGACGGTGTGGGGAAAACCCGGGGAGGGGTCGCCTACTGTTCGCTGAAGCCAGGGGCAACGGCGCCTGTCACCTCGCCACACCCGCTTCAGAGGTCCTCAGCGACCAGTAGGGTTGTATGGGTTGAGTTCCCTGTCACGCTTCCTCTTTAAACAGAGTGCCTGTTGTCACTTTCTAACAGTCAAAGTAACCAGAGAAAAGATAATTAATTAAAGTTGACTGACCAGGTTTGCAGATCTGAAATCAAAGCCACACCCGCGACGGCGACCATACCAGCAAATAGCAGAGGGGTCCTGCACCCCTCCCATGACTGTCACGCTATCCCATAAAGGTTTGACCTCAATCTGTTTCTTTTGCTTCTCAGATGGGCGAGAGGTCTCGCTGATCTCAGTCGAGCTCTCGCCGAATCTTAGATAGGGGTTATGACTTTACAAGCTGGCACCAATAGAGATTGAGAGATCTTAATACCTTTCGATGTCATGAACTCCTTCAACTTTTAATTGGTTTTTGTAAGCGATCAAGCACTGGACACCCCTGCACACAGACTCAGACTTAGCGAGACAGCAACGACGAGGATGTTGAAAGCTGAAATTTGAAAAGACCCATTTCCTCCTCTGTCAGCCCTCTCCCATCCGCTGTTTATTGCTCAAAGTTCATCGTTTCCCATTCGTCCTTTCCCCCTTCTTTTCCTACTTCCTTCTCTCGCTTACTCTCGATTTCGCCCCCCCCCCCCCCCTTTTGCTGTCTTTTCTCGGTGACTCTTCTCCGCCGTTCTCTCTCTCGTTGTCCTATCCATCGCTCCACTCTCTCTTGTTGCACATTCCCCCTTACCTCACTCTCTCTCTCTCTGCACACAATCGATTGTTGGGCACTGGCAAAACAAGCAATTCGGGAATGGAGTGATTAATAGTAGTCACGAAATCTTTGATTGAAATGCGAAAACACTGACTTTGTCCAGAAGAAAACAGCGGT